CAGAAATGGCTTGCTGCAAAGAAGCACCCTTTCCCATAGACCTTAGATAAGACTCATGGATGCCTCCCTTGTTTACCTATGACAACGCCACACACAGTCCCCCAAATTCCTATTCATAAATGATTAACTGAACTGTTTTGTCCCACTGATCAATGGGAACAAAATGCTTGTTAATCGAACTTTGGTTACGATTCTTTCCTTCCTCCTGCCCCTGAACCCATCCTCAGCCTGAGCCAGCATACAACCCCTCCTTAACAGCCCGGCCAAAGAACAGGTTGGCCTCAGGGTAAAAAAATTCTCTAATCCCACTCGTATTCCACTACCCTAGACTGGGTTCCTTCTAGCTTTGTTTATTCCTCCTATAAAAGAAAAGCTTTCCTCTTGAGAAGCTGGCAGATCTTATGGTAAGAGAGTTCTCACTATTGCAGTAGCTCCTTTCTCTCCTTACAAGAATCCTGTTAATAAAATCTCTTCTTACTAAATCTGGATTTGTTTTATATTTGAAAGGACCCACTCACTACCTTTTATTACCAAATTTTTCTTTCCTATTCTCATACACTCATAAGAAAAATTATTTTGCTAAATCTGGCCTCTACTTGATTTAAGCTTTTTAAAAACTTTGAGACAAAATTTATGTACAATTAGAGCATCCATTTAAAGGGTATCATTTGCTGAAATTTGACATAAGTATAACTCCTGTGAAACTTCCACTACAATCAATGTATGGAACATTTCTATCACTCCTAAAAGTTTCCTTGAGCCACTTTGCATAGAACCCTTCTTTTGCCCTTGGCCCCATGCAAGCACTGATCTGTTTTCTGTCACTATAATTGGTTTGTATTTTCTAGAGTTTTATACACGTGGAATTATACAGTGTGTCTGGCTTCTTTCACTCAGCATAATGATTTTTAGATTCAACCACATTGTTGCATATGTTAGTCGTAGTAGTTGGTAGTAGCTTATTCCTCTTTTTCTGTTGTTTTTTATTATTCCATTAGTATGGATATAACACATTTTGTTTATCTGCTGGTTTATTGATGAATATTCTTGTTTTTTCCTTCAGTTTTGGATATTGCAAATAAAGTTACCATGAATGTTCAAATACAAATCTTTGTGTGAACATGTTTTCATTTCTTTTGGGGAGGAGTAAACGGGCTACGTGCAAAGGTAGGTATATATCTAACTTTTAAGAAGCTGCCATAGTAGTTCTACCGTTTTCCATTTTTATCAGCAGTGAAAACTCATTTAGGTTTGTACTAACATATATTTTGGGAAGAAACAACATGTTTACTGTATTCAGTTTTTCTACAAAGACAAATGCTATACAGGTTTAGTTATCAAATCTTTCATATTACCCAGTGAAGTTTTATTTCTTTTCTTCATATGGGACTTGCTCACTTCTGATTAGGGTTAGGCCTTGGTATTTTATGTTTCTATCATAAAAGAGAACTTTTTTAGTTTATGTTTTAACTGCTTACAGTAGTCTTTTTTTAAAAATAACTTTATTTTTCAGAATGGATTTCAACTTATAGAAAAATTGTGAAGATAATATAGAAAGTTTCCATATATCCAGTACGTAGTTTCCACTATTATTAACATCTGATGTTATTATGGTACATTTGTTACAATTAATAAGCTAATATTAATATGTTACTGTTAACTATAGTCCATATTTTATTCAGATTTCCTTTGTTTTTATCTAATGTCCTTTTTCTATTCCAGGATCCCATCCAGGATTTTGTAATCATGTGTCCTTTGGCTTCTCTCACACTTTTTGTTTTAATGACTTTGACAGTTTGAGGAATACTGGTCCAGTATTTTGCAGAATGTCCCTCAACTGGAATTCGTTTGATATTTTTCTCATGATTAGACTGGAGTTATGGGGTTTTGGAAGGAAGAGAGCAGAGATCAATTGTGATCTTCATCACATCATCTCGAGGGTACATACTACCATTGTGACTTATCACTGTTCGTGTTGACCTTCTCATCTGGCTGAGGCCGCATTTGTCAGGTTTCTCCACTGAAAAGCTACCCTCCTGCCCACTTTCTTTCCATACTGTACTGTTTAGAAGGAAGTCACTAGGCACAGACTACACTTCAGGAGTGAGGAGTTATGTTCCCCCCTCCTAGAGGGTGTAGTATCTACATAAATTTGGGATTCTACTGCATGGGGGATTTGTCTGTTCTCCCCCATTTTATTTATTTATTATTTATTTATATCAGTATGAACTCATAGATTTTTATTTATACATCGTGTTATGTATTTTGTGGCTCAGAGTGTTCTAGCTTTGGCCATGGGGAGCTCTTTCAGTTGGCTCTTGTGTCCCTTTGTCATACCACCATCATTGTGAATGTTTTAAAATTATTTTTATTTTTATTACCCCATCTTTGTGAATGTTTTAAAATTATTTTTATTTTTATTACCCCATCATTGTGAATGTTTTACAATTATTTTTAGGGGCCAGCCTGGTGGTGCAGCAGTTAAGTGCGCATGTTCCACTTCTCGGCAGCCAAGGGTTTGCTGGTTCGGATCCCGGGTGCGGACATGGCACTGCTTGGCAAAAGCCATGCTGTGGTAGGTGTTCCACGTATAAAGTAGAGGAAGATGGGCATGGATGTTAGCTCAGGGCCAGGCTTCCTCAGCAAAATAAGGTGGATTGGCAGTAGTTAGTTCAGGGCTAATCTTCCTCAAAAAAAAATTATTTTTATTACTTCCTTACTTTCTGGCACTACAAAATGCTCCAAACTCATCTCATATATTTCCTGCCCCAGTCCTAGAATTGTGCATTTTTCCAAGGAGCTCTGGTTCCTTTTATTAGAGAATAGTATTAGCAAGCAAGATCTAGGTGCTAGGTGTGCTCCTTGCTACAAGGATATTGTTCTTCTTGGGCCCTATCAGCTGACAGAGCAAGGATATATAGGGTTATACTAACTTGTGTATACACACGTTTATACATATTTCTCTATATAACCATCTGTATCTATAAACATGAATTTATACTGATGTCTCCAGTTCTGATTCATCACCACGTTTCATTCAAACCTCTACCTCTTGCTTATCTGTAAACTTCTACACCAACAGTGAGTTACCTGGCTCCCAGCCGTTTGCTATCCATTTACTTAATTGTTCAGTTTCAGTATACATGTATAGGAGCATAAGAATTGTTAACCTGTGCTCTTGTAGAAAACAACTTTATCGAGTACAGTGCTTATGTACAGTATCTTTTGCCTTTAGTTTTACACACTGTACTCATTTCCTGCAATGGTCATTTTTTTCCAGTTATTTTATTGAGATCATATTGATTTATAACATTATGTAATCTCAGGTGTACATTATTGCATATCAGTTTCTGTATAGACTGCATTGTGGTCACCACCAACAGAGTAATTTTTTTTGTGAGGAAGATGGGCCCTGAGCTAACATCTGTGCCAACCTTCCTCTATTTTGTATGTGGGACACCGCCACAGCATGGCTTGATGAGTGGTGTGTAGTTCCACTCCTGGGATCCAAACCCACAAACCACAGGCTGCCAAAGTGGAGTGCATGAACTTAACCACTACACCACCAGGCCAGCCCCAATAGCCTAATTTTTATCTGTCTCCATACATATGTGCCCCTTTACCCATTTTGTCCATCCCCCAACCTCCTTCCCCTCTGGTAACCACTATCTGTTCTCTTTATCCATGTGTTTGTTTATCTTCCACATATGAGTGAAATCATACGGTGTTTGTCTTTCTCTGTCTAGCTTATTTCACTTAACATAATACCCTCAAGGTCCATCCATGTTGTTATAAGTGGGACAATTTTGTCTTTTTTACATATACATTGTATGTATATATCCATTCATGAATTGATGGGCACTTGCGTTGCTTCCATGTCTTGGCTATTGTAAATAATGCTGCAAATGAACACAGATTTATGCAAATCTCTTTGAATTGTTGATTTTATGTTCTTTGGATAAATACCCAGTAGCAGAATAGCTGGATCATATGGTATTTCCATTTTTAATTTTTTGAGAAATCTCCATACTATTTTCCATAGTGGCTGCACCAGTTTGCATTCCCACCAGCAGTGTATGAAGAGGGTTCTCTTTTCTCCACATCCTCTCCAACATTTATTATTTTTTGTATTGGTAATTATAGCCATTCTGACAGGTATAAGGTGATATCTCCTCATAGTTTTGATTTGCATTTTCCTAACAATTAGTGATGTTGAATATCTTTTCATGTGCCTGCTGGCCATCCATATAGCTTCTTTGGAAAAATGTCTGTTCATATCTTCTGCCCATTTTCGGGGTGCCATCCCTTTCCTCTTCTCCTTCCAAGTTCTTATTGTCACAAATTGTTCTTTCCTGTGTTATGAGCTTGTGACTAAATTGAACTGTTTATAGTTATTTTTGATGCTTTCCTTCCTGTTATCTTTTATAAATGTTTACTGACCTATTCTGATGTAGAGCTGCAATTTTCTGATTCTGTTTAACTCCTTGCTTAAGGTTTTATTAAACTTTTGCTTTTTTGTTACAGGTAGGAGGGCTTCCTTCATCATTTCTTATAAGGAAGGTCTAGTGGCGCTGAACTCCCTCAGTTTTTGTTTATTTGGGCAAGATATTTTTCTATGGCTTTCCCCCCCCCCATCCATAAAATCTCAGCTCACCTACTGCCTCCTGATCTTAGGGGGTCTCTGACAATTTAAAAACTTTAGCAAATATTTGGTGTCTAGTATGAAATGGTATGCTTGATGCTGAGGAGAAATACCAACAAGTACCAGACACAAGACACAGGTCCCTGCCCTTCTAGAGCATGAAATGGACCAGCTGTGAAACCAATATCTGGTGGGTACAACCGCTCCTTTGTTGGCCCTTAGCAGGTATGCCAGCTGTTACAACTGCTGTGCACACTCACCCAGCTAATTGTTTTTTTTTTTTTGAGGAAAATTAGCCCTGAGCTAACTGCTGCCAATCCTCTTTTTGCTGAGGAAGACTGGCCCTGAGCTTGCCACGTGGTGCCATGTCCGAACCCTGGATCCAAAGCTGCGAACCCAGGGCCTCGGAAGGAGAACGGAAGGGGAACGTGCGAACTTAACCGCGGCGCCACTGGGCAGGCCCCAACATAGATAATTCTTCAACTGCCGTCTTAAGGCGGAATATGCAGGATTCCATTTCACTTTCACTTTTAAAAGGGTGAAATTAAGGAAGGTATATCCGGTTTTGCTACCTGAAGTGTTTTCCGAGGGAATTCCTTTACCTGTCCCACAGAGGATTACCTAATCTCATGTGCTCCCCAAGAGAAACCCTACTCCTCTTCCTGGTTGTGGGTGAAAGGTCGCGCTGAGTACTGACCAACCAGCTCTTTCCTTCTCCGCTGCGGGGCGGGGCCTCGAGCCCGGCTTCGGAGACCCGCCCCCGTACGTGGCATGCGTGCGTGGTGCCTTGGGGCGCGCACCGGTTTCTCCAGCGTGTGGCGCCCCCCGGCGGCAGCGGGGCCTCCATGGGATAAGCGGACCTGAGCGCCTGCCATGGAGCCGCAGAAAGAGGCGCAAACACCCGGGGACCCCGTGGAGCAGCCGCGTGGGGCCTCGAGGTCTCAGACGCCTAAGGAGGAGGAGCGGCGGGAGGGCGGCGCAGCGCCGGCGGCGGCTGCCCCGGGAGCGGAGACGGAAGGCGCCAGTGCGGACGGGCTGTGGGAGCTGCCGGTGGAGCCGGCCGAGCGGAGGCCCGAGTGCAGTCGCTGCAGGTGACCGCCGGGCGGGGCGGGGCGGGGCCAGGCCGGCAGCGGCCTTCGCGGGCGGCTGCAGCGCCCCCTGCCGCGCAGGCGGTTGCTGCGGCTCCGCCCGGCGCTGCGCTGGCTGTGGCGTCTCGGCGCTTGGGGCCCCGGGGTGCGCTGGTTGGCCTTAGAATCACTGGAAATAGCTGTGGCAACTCGTTGCACAGAAGCCGTTCATCCCGGTTGCTGATATTTAGGCTTGCTTCTTGCAAGACATTGAGCGTGTCATGGGCTGAGCTGACATAAGTTGTGCTGTCAAGAAACTTGAGTCCGATAGGAGAAGTTAAGGGTAATGGCTAATTCTTGGAATAGTTAACGCTTTTATGCTTAAGTGCCAGGGTTATCTCACAGTAAAGAAACGTAAAATGTATTAGAGAGAGACAATCAAGGAGACTATTACAACAGTTAAGACTGCAGTATTCAGAATTCTGAATTCACTTAAAAACATTTCTTGAGTATCTATTAATGTGCCAGGCGCCGTGCTTTGTCCTGGGAATGCTGCCGTGGATAAAACAGAGCTTGTCTCTGCCTTCACTGGGGCCCTTCCAGTCTAATGAAGACACAATTTATTAAACAATAACAACAACAACTAACATTATTGAACGCTCACAGTATGCCCCATTGTTTAAGGCCTTTTCGGGATTAGCTCATTGTGCTGGTGTCCTTCAGGGTTGTGTGGAGTACTTTCCCTGCTTGTTTGAAGCTCATGCTGTTCAGATATACTATTCTGTCTGCCTGCCGGGTCTTCAGGATCATTGCCCTTGGTTACCGAAGGTCTCTATCTATCACCTGTCTCTCTGTTGCCCTTCACAGTTTTAACTATTAGATAGTGCCTCTACTTGCTCAACTCGGAATCACTCTGCAGTTTATCAGATTCTACACTGCTGTGAATTGACTGTCGCTAAAGTCACCGGTAGTCTCCATGAGAGGAAATCCAGGCGATCCTTTTCTGTTCATTTTTTACTGGACCTCTTAGCATCATTCTGCAGTTGATACTCACTTCTTGAAACACTCTCTTTCTTTGGCCTCCCTTTGATTTATCTAAGTTCTCTATCCTACTCTTCTTTGCCTGTTCTACTGAAACTCTTTTTTTTTTTTTAAAGATTTTATTTTTTCCTTTTTCTCCCCAAAGCCCCCCGGTATGTAGTTGTATATTCTTCGTTGTGGGTCCTTCTAGTTGTGGCATGTGGGACGCTGCCCCAGCGTGGTTTGATGAGCAGTGCCATGTCCGCTCCCAGGATTCAAACCAATGAAACACTGGGCCGCCTGCAGCGGAGCGTGTGAACTTAACCGCTCAGGCACGGGGCCAGCCCCTCTACTGAAACTGTTAATGTTGGGCTTCCTCAGGTCTTCACTTCTCCTCTGACCCTACACACTTCCCACAGGTGATCTTGCCAGTTCTCATGGGTAAGCTATCACCTCTGCCCCAATATCTTCAGCCCAGACCTTTCTCCTGAGCGCCAGACCCATGCATTCATTTAACCAGTGTTTATTGAATGCTTTGCTAATCACTGGTGTCTGTATGGAGTGTTCAGTCTGTTATTGGATACAGATAATAAACCAGTAAATAAGCAACCAAACATGTAATTACACTGGGAAAAAAACAGCAGTGAAGGAAAGGAATGATATGCCGTGATAGAAAGTAGCAGGATAGTGTCAGGGAAGATTTCTGGAGATAGCATTTATATTGAGATTTGAAAGATGAGAAGGATCCAGCCAAGAGAAAAGCATTCCAAGAAGGGGAACAGAAGGACAGACTGATTGAATGTCTTTACCACTTGAATACTTGGAGGACATTTTGACCTTTTCCCAGGGCTGGATTGTAAGACCTCAGAGGAGGGGATCTTGCGTGTAAGGATCTTTTTATATTTTCTAAATGTACTGTGTATAGTAGGCACTTGATAGACCTTTGAGGATGATCAATAATTTGTGTCTAGAAAGGACTGTATCTGAACAGAAGGGATGTGTGAATATAATTTATTTAAACAAGTTGTTGGAAGGTGTTAGGAGATAAGACTGAAAATGCTATGAGGGGATCTCAATGTTGAAGGAAAGGATGAAAGGAAGAATGTTGAAAGAAAAGTATTTCAAACGTAAATCCAGGGCTAAATTATGCTAGCTTTATCATATAATTTTTGATCTATTCAGAACTGCTAACTATAGAAGCTGTATATAGTTTAAAAAAAATTAGCCTCCTATGTTTAGCAAATTTTTCTCTTCTGCTCCTCTCCTTTAATAGTCTTTATTCTTTAGAGCAGTTTTAGATTACAGCAAAATTGAGTGGAAAGTAGAGCTTTCCCATATACCCCCTGTCCCCAGATATGCATAGCTTCTCGCATTCTCAATATCCCCCACCAGAGTGGTACATTTGTTACAGTTAGTGAAATACATGATACATCATTGACACTCCATGTCCATAGTTTATGTTAGGGTTCACTCTTGATGTTGTGCATATTTTTAATTTGGGCAAATTTATAATAGTATATATCCACCGTTATGGTATCATATAGAGTATTTTCACTGCTCTAAAAGTCCTCTTTGCTCTCCCTTTTCATCCCTCCCTATCCCCTAACCTCATCTGCTTTTTAAAAAATGAAAACGACTTGCTGAATTTTAGCTTGTTTTCAGATACATTAATTAATGCTTTAGGATTATTATTCATTCCAACATTTCTGCACTTTTCTTTTTCTAGTGAAATTTTCTACCTTTTGAAAGCCCTTCTCCCCCTTGACATGTTGTGCATTTTATTTGTTTTAATTGGTTTGAATACAGTTCTAGAAATATGGAGAATATTTAGGTGTTATCAATACAATATAAACTAATTGATGGCTCTTTATATTTTATTTCATTAGGCTGTTATGGTTTTATTAGTTCCCTGGGTGTGAACTTCTTTACATTTATGCTTATCATAGTTTTAAAAACTAAGATGCTTTGTTAGATTTGAGTGATCAATATGTCACAATTATTTGGCTCTTTACTTAAAAAACTTTTTCTGTTCACTTCTCTAAACATATTGCTGTAAGTGTCGCAGCCTTAGGAGTTCCAGAAATTGGTTTTGTTTAAGAAGTGCAAACTAAATTTAACTTCTCAGCAGAATCTTGCTTATTAGAAATACAACATATCTTAAACATGAGTGGAGTATTCTTTAAAAGATCCCAAACTAATTTGTTACACGATGCAGGTTTTGTGAAAAGTCTGTCCCTGTTAGAGGGGACAGCATGTACAGGAGTACAGGGTGTAGAGAATACTGTATTTGGAGGGCTTGGCAGAGAAGAGACAGTGGTGAGAGATGAGGCTGCAGAGATTAGAGGTGGTTGCTCTGGGAAGGGCCAAATAAGCTATGCTGGAGAGTTTGGGCCTCATGTCCTAGAACCCAACCAACCAGCGCTGAAGTATTTTCCTATTTGAATGTTGGTGACAAGTTTGACTTTTTTTGTGGGTGAGGGAGATTGTCCCTGAGCTAACATCTGTTGCCATTCTTCTTCTTTTTGCTTGAGGAAGATTGTCGCTTAGCTAACATCTGTGCCAATCTTCCTCTGTTTTATGTGGGATGCCACCATAGCTTGGCTGATGAGTGGTGCTAGGTCTGTGCCTGGGATCCTGCAAACCCCAGGCTACCAAAGTAGAGCGTGCAAACTTAACCACTACGCTGCCAGGCTGGCCCCAAGTTTGACTTTTATGGGTAGCTTTTAGCTGTCATAATTTGTATCTATTTTATTAAAAAAATACAAACTGGATGATGATACAGTGGTAAAAGGCTTGACTGGGAAGGGCTTCAATCCAGTAAAGAAGCTAGGCATCTTAATTATATTTTTATATCTTTTGTATATATTGCTGTGAGCCTGTAGACAAGAGTTAGAAACCACTTGCAAATCATTGGTCACAAGAATAATGGAAAATGTCTAAATTAAGAATATTTTTTAATCTGTCTGAGGGAGGGAAACAGCAGGGAGAGCATGCACACAAACTGATGCACATGGACTCTGAGAGAGAAATGTTTCCCTCTGCAATATTTTCTTACCCCCAAAGTTGTAAGGATTGTAATAAACCATTCCAATATATTTAGCTCCCATTTATTAAGCACTGATCATCTGGAGATTACCTACCAGGCCTAGGTATTTTATAAATGATATTTTATTTATTTCTCATAACGACATTCTAGAGTTGATATTCTTAGCTTTTAAATGACCAGGAGGTAGAGGTAACAAGCAGGTAGCAGAGCTGTGTCTCCAGCTCCAGACCACTTGGCTCCCAAGCTCATGCAAGCACTTGACTTTGCTCCGTGCTCCATGCTCTCTGAGTAAGCCTTATGATTTTATTTGCAGAGTGGATGTAGTCACCAGTTGAAGTGGAACCGCTAAGGCTGCAAGCGTAGCTCTGATTTTCATACTTTTCAAGCTAAAGTATGTTTACTTCAAGCTTAGTAACAAGATGCCTGAGCTTTAGTATTCTCTAGCTCCTTTTTAAAAAAACTCGAGATGTAATTGATGTATAACATTATGTAAATTTAGGGTGTACAGCGTGTTGATTTGAGACATTTACATATTGCGATATGATTACCACTGATAGCATTCACTATCATCACATAATTATCATTTCTTTTTTTTTGTGGTGAGGAGATTTAAGAACTAATTTCTTAGCAATTTTGCAGTATATAATACAGTATTGTTGACTGTAATCACTGCTTGTGCGTTAGCTCTCCAGAACTTATTCATCTTCTAGTTCCAAGTTTGTGCCCTTTAACAACATTTAGCTCCTGTATTTCATGTCTTAACCTTTTCATTATTCTTTAGGCTTGGATATTCTGGAGACAAAAGTGATGGGGATAAAATCATGAGAGAGGGAAGGAGGGAAGACTGCGGGGGTTTAAGAATACAGAAGCCACAGACTGGCCGCTTACAGATGTTTTGTTTTGAACTGTTTTCTACCAGTTTTTAAATTAGTTGCTAACAGTTGAAAATCAAGATGTT